TTTTCTTTTTGCTTATGTGGTGCTGAGGAATCGAACCCTGGGCCTCAGGCATGCAAGGCAAGCGCTCTACCACTGAGCCACCTTCCCAGCCCCTTATCCTGCTTTTTAGAGTGCACAGAGTTTTCTACTAGAGGAAAGATGTCCTCTTTCTGTTAGCCTGCAGTTGTTGAGACTACTGAGTACCAGACTGAGATGAGGCCAACCTGGAGGAAGGCACCACTGAGAGACTTCCATGTTTGTGAGTACTAGAGTTAAGTGTACCTGAAGGCATCCCTAGACTTTTCAGTAAATAACACAATAAGTTTTGTTATTTTTTCCTAGGTCACAATGAACTGGATTTCTGCCACTTACCACTTGATGTCACAACACGGTAGAACAAGGAGTAAAGCATGGCTACAGAGAGCTAACCAGGACAGGTGCCAAGTGGCTGGGCTAGCTCAGCCCCTTTCTCTTTCCCCATGGCTACATCTCCTAGTTTTTCCTTATTGTACCAACCATCAGAGGTCTGATCAGCATGGACAGTGTGGAGGATATTGGGGAGGCGGCTACCTTCTCAAATATATCCCTCAGCATGTCCATGTCCTTCATGAATGACTCAACAGTATCCTTGAACTGATGGAGTTCAGTGAGCAAATCCTGCACAGTCTGCATCGCCTGAGGGGGAAACAAGACTGTGAAATGGGTGTAGCTGGTGTCGAAGCTTTTTGATGACAGCCAGCATCCTAGGACTTCTCTTGGTTCTTTCAAGGTTTAGGCTGGAATATACTCAGAGACCAGCAAATGATATTAAAAACAATGTTGCTCAAGTCTCAGGAGGCTCTGGGTAAGAAAGGAAGGAAAGGAGCAAGGAAAGACAGGAAGGAGGGAGGGAAGAAGGGAGGAAGCTAGGAAACAAAACAATATATGAGATCATACATCCATCTTTGAAACCTAACTCAGGACAATGGAAATGGAAACAGAGTAGCAGGACTGCTGTAACACAGTAAGTCTGTGTTGCTAACATGTACAAAGCCCTAGTTTCCATCCATACTGTGGACCTGGCAGCACTTATGGCTCATGCCTGTAATCCTAGCTACTCAGGAGGCTAACAAAGCCAGCCTGGACAGAAAAGTCCTCGTGAGACTCTTCTTTTTCTTTTCTTTCTTCCTTCCTTCCTTCCTTTCTTTTTCTTTCTGTCAGTTGTGGGGCTTGAACTCTGGGCCTGAGCGCTGTCCCTCAGCTAGCTCTTCAGCTCAAGGCTACCATTCTACCACTTGAGCTACAGTACCACTTCTGGTTTTCTGGTGGTTTATCAGAGATAAGAGTTTCACAGACTTTCCTGCCCGGGCTGGCTTTGAACCTCAATCCTCAGATCTCAGCCTCCTGAGTAGCTAGGATTATAGGCGTGAGCCACCAGCACCCAGCCATCCATGAGACTCTTATCTCCAATTAACCACTCAAAAATGGGAAGTGGTGCTGTGGATCATATGAGTGCTAGCTTTGAGCACAAAGAGACTCAGGGACAGTGCCCAAGCCCTGAGTTCAAGCCCCACAACTTACAAAAAAATACAGAATGGTACTAGCATAGAGTGTTATAGAGTGGAGAGTCTAGAAATAAACCCAGAAGTCTACAGTCTAAACACAGGCAACAAGACCATCTTTACAAATGGTGCCAGGACAATAGATACAATTGTGAAAATATGAGCTGGAGTTGGGCACTGATGGCTCATATCAGTAATCCTAGCTACTCAGGAGGCTAGGATCTGTGGGTTGTAGTTCAAAGCCAGCCTGGGCAGGAAAGTCTGTGAGCCTGTGAAACTTTTTTTTTTTTTTTTTT